CATATGGAGCATTTTAAGGTAATTTGTGGCTGTTGACAACATTACCAATGAGTTAATATAGAAGCTGAGAAACAGTTTCAAAAATTGTTCATGAAATGGCTTTTTTGGTAGCAATTGAAGTAAAAGTGGGGGCTGTAGAAACCTCTTCTGACTTTACTCTGTCACTCGCACACTCTCTGGTTCCTGGGAGTAGAGCTTATCAGCGCCTCTCAGTCACACGGCCACTATATATATCCTGCAGCTTCTGGTAGTTAGACCAGGTGATCTGGTGAAGGGGTCACTTACACGTCTGAGGTAACTCGAGGCTGCTACCTGCCTATCTTGATGTGGCTTTCTTTTGCTTGGGAAATGTCAGTTTAGATGGTTCTTGTCCAGGCTGTGAAGGTACTTGAGCTTAAGTTAAACTTTATGATATATTTACAGAACCATCAATTTTATCAACAAAGGTTGTTCCAGTAGGATTCACATCTGCTGTTTTATTGCTTTAGGCATACATTTTTTTTAAACTATCAAATAGCTGAAGGCATTCAGTTTTGAGTTATAAAATGTTAGAGGTGCCTGGGTGGCTCAGTCGGTCAAGCATGTGACTTTTTTTTTTTTTTTAAGATTTTATTTGTTTATTTGACAGAGAAAGACACAGCGAGAGAGGGAACACAAACGGGGAGTGGGAGAGGGAGAAGCAGACTCCCTGCCGATCAGGGAGCCCGATGTGGGACTCGATCCAGGGACTCCAGGATCATGACCTGAGCGACCTGAAGGCAGTCGCTTTACCAACTGAGCCACCCAGGCGCCCAAGCATGTGACTCTTGATCTCAGCTCAGGTCTTCTCGGGATCGTGGGTTCAGGCCCCGTGTTGGGCTCCACACTGGGTGTGGAGCCTCTTAAAAAAAAAAGTTATCTAGTTTAGGTCCTAGAGATCAAGCTGCTGGGGTGAGAGCTGCCTTTTACGGATTTGGAAACTAAGGCCACAAACAAGTTACTGGACCAGGGTCATGGGTTTGTGGGGGGCAAAGCCTGGCGTAGGTGTAGGGACGCCTGAATTCTCTGGCCTGCACACTTCAACATTCCTCATGTTTTATATTTGTGACTGAATTTTTCATTTTTCATTAAAAAACAAAACGGTGGGGGCGCCTGGGTGGCTCAGTCATTAAGCGTCTGCCTTCGGCTCAGGTCATGATCCCAGGGTGCTGGGATCGAGCCCCACATCGGGCTTCCTGCTCCGCGGGAAGCCTGCTTCTCCCTCTCCCACTCCCCCTGCTTGTGTTCCCTCTCTTGCTGTGTCTCTCTCTGTCAAATAAATAATAAAATCTTTAAAACAAACAAACAAACAAAAAAAACCCGTGGACAGTTGGTTAAAAAAAGATCATTATAATTAAACATCAAAATGTTTGACTACTGAATGATGGTTTTTGTTTTAATATTCGGTCCCATTAGAGATGTTTCATATTTTATAGACTCATCTTAAAGTGTATTTGCCTATGAATTTAGCTTATTTATGTATTTCACTAAGTTGGTCATTTTATATAGGGGAACACCATATTAAAGAGTAAAGGAGCATTTTTTTTTTTTTTTTTTTTTACTGTTCTTGTATAGTCACCTTAGAAGATACTTTCTATGTATTTAGGAGGCATATCCAGCTAGCTGTCTCATATCTTTTTCTTTCTTTCCCTTTCTTTCTTTCTTTTTTGAGTAGGAGAGAAGGGCTGGGCACGATATAAATGGTAAATAAGCAAATTGCTTTTATTGTATGGGCAGGATCCTCTCTCTTGCTTTGAGAGCATAACTGCTCTGCCGTGAAAAGCAAGTGGAACTTGGCATCCCCATAGCTTCTTACCTTCCTTTTTTCCATGAAGAAGAAAAATCTTTTCTTTATCAGCATGGAAACAAACTAGTGTTTACGTCTTAAAATATGTCATTCTTTTCCCTTCTAATTTGATGCACTATATGAGTCAAATAAGATTCACAGTGACATTCTTCTAAACCAATAAAGGTTGAAGAAAGTATAGGTAATAAAGAATAGGAAAACCATTTTGAGCTCTCAGGAATTCCTATATCACACTCTCTGATAAATACAGCGGAAGTAGTCCTGTGCATAGTGGGTGCTGTGGATGGTCATGCTACGTGTCTGTCATATCAAAAAAAGGATTATAGACATTATGGTCTGTATTCTTCATATTCAAGCTTCAAATAATCTCTCCTGAAATCTGGAATATTTGCTATTAAATATGATTTACCACATTCAAAATAAAACAAAGCAAATTGATCCCAGGCAGATTTCTTTCTGTTCTTTACCAGCGGCGTATCTCAAAGCTGTTTGTTTATTGTTATAGGGTTTTTTTATTAGCTGCTTTTTTGGATTCACTGTCTGGTAATATAATAGACTCATTAAAATTAAAATTCTGTGGGTGGATACAACCAGTTTTAGTAGTAAAGCCAGTGCTTTGAAGAAATGTATTACTTAATTTTATGTTATTTGGCTAATTTGAATTGTAGCGACCAAGTTATACACAAACCATGAACAGTACAGGTGGTAGGTACCAGAATTTCTTTGCTGTGAGTGATCAGAAGCATATGTATATGGATCTGATAATTCCTAGCTCTGTTAACCCTTGCGCAAATTGCTTAACTTTCATAAAACTCAATTTTCTTATAAGTAAAAGGGGTGGATAGTATATGTCAAGCACTTAGCACAGAATCTAGCAATCAGTAAGTGCTTAATTAAGGGTGGTTACTTTTATTGACCTACAAAGAAGAAAACGAACTTAATCATAGTTATGATTAACTCTAGGTTATTGAGCTTTTAAATGATTAAGGGAAAACCTCCTTAGTAGTTTCTTTCATTAATTCCTTCCACTTTTTTTGGCTCCCTGTCTTATTTTTTTCTTACACCTGTATCAGCAGCTTAAGACATTATTATTCCAAGAGCATTAGAGGACAAGAAAATTTTGTTCTTCCAGGTCATAAAGATGTGGTGGTATAGCTAATGGTTTTCTTCTCTTACGGTACAGTGTTATACATGTTCCTAAGCACTGGGTATAATTTTAACAATTTGTAAGTATTAAATCCCATTTTTCACTGTTTTGTTTCTATTAAGATTTCCCGTTTCCCACAACTCGGCCTCCACAACCCTCCTTCATAGGACCCTTCCCCAAGCACACATGTGCTCCTTAATTAGGAGTGGAACTACTTTTGATGTCGACTTTTGGTCCTTGAGAATCACTGTGTTGGCCCCAGGGCTTACTTACAATGTCAGATGCCACGTCAGTGCTCTGTATATGCTTGTATCTGAATGCATCTGTCGCTGATTTGCTGTGGTGGATTACCACATGGGGCAGGGAATACCTTAGGTTCTCTGAGGAATGACTCAGTTTGGGAGGGAGAGAATACTAGAAGCCCAAGATCATCTCTGCGCAACCTTTGTTTTCTTTCCATGTGCTTAATGCTATCCTTTGGCCACCCTTCCTTCCTGCCCTTGCTCTTAGAAAATAGCAGTAAAGGTATAAACAACTAGATGGGCCACAAAGGGTGGAGGCAGCCGGTACCTGCCACAGGATCCCAGTGGTCTGGCCAGTGGGTTCTGTGCGTATCAATACCAATCCAGTACTGAGGTAGAGAATATGTCCACCTTCACACCATGGGCCTGAAAAATGTTCTCAGCAGTGTCCATGTTTGTTCCCATTGACCTGCAAATGAGATTTTGGGATTTCAACTCTTTACTCCCTGTAGCATTTGGGATTTGGAGAGTGAGGTATAATTAAAATCCATGGGTAATTCTCTTATCTCCTTTTAGCCTTATTAACAATGCTGTTAACCCTTTACCAGCTCTGCTTAGCCAGAAGGACTGGAGTGTTCTTATCACTTGCTTTTCCTTTTAGTCTGTTGCCTTGCTGTAACAATAATAAATCATTATCACGTTATAAGTATTTATCTATTAAGGTAATATTTAACAAGAGCTTCCTCGGTTCAGGTCATTGATCCTAAGTGCTTTACATGTATTAATTTAATCTTCACGACAACATGATAAGTTTTATCATTCCTGCTTGACCAGTGAGGACACTAAGGCCCAGAATAACTTGCTCAAGGTCATGTGCCTAGTAAGTGGTAAAAGCAGATTACAAGGTACAAGCCAAGGATGGTGAAATGATGCAAAGTCAGATGAGCATTGGGAAGGACGGAAGGGGAAAGTCTAGCTATTCCATAGTAATTACGAATTTTTTGATAGTTTGCTTTGTTTAAATAGAAAATTAGAATGAGTCCATTCCATGTGATGGCCTATTGGACTCTCTTTTCTCTTTCGGTGTTTATGTGTGTATTGAAGGCCTTTCAGTGCTCTAAAACACAACAGCGTGTGTCCAGTCATTGTTAGAGAAGTTTGTTTGTAAGAAAACCACGAGCTGTTTCCTCAAGAGAGAAATGAAATGAGTGCCTGATGTTCACTTCCGTGTTTAACAAAGCCCGAGAGAGAGCTAGTCTCATGGGAGGAAGCAGTTGTAGAAAGTCTGCTGTTCATTTTTTTTTCCCCACACAGAAATCTTTTTCCTTCCTCTTGTTATGAAAAATAGTACAGGCTCATTACAAAGACCTAAAATGAAATTCTTCAATCCCAATGCCCAGGATTAACTTTACCCAATTTGAAATATATATTTCTGGACACCGTTCTTGGTCTGAAAACACATACAAATATATATCTGCCTCTCTTTTTTTCAAAACACAAAGTTAGTAATCTCCTTTTTACATTCAACCCTATACCTTGGACATCTTTCTCTGTTAATATCCTTTTTCAAGGCTTCAGAATATTTCATTGTGTGGACACACCAACATGTATTTACACAGTTCATTGCTGCCCTTAAAAAATGTGTAGACACATGCTTCTATAATATTTTATTTTCAGTTGAAATTCATTTTAATACCAATATTTCCTCTTTGAACTTCATATTTTGGTCTATAAAATATAGAATAGGAAGAGCTTGTAAGACAGTTTCCAACTCGACATTCGACAGTTTCTAATTCCGCTCTGTGAATCTTTAGAACTGCGAGCAACTCCCCTAGGTCGTATTGCCGGTCATCTTCAGCAGCCTAGCGGTGTCTGTGTTGCTCAGCCAGGCCTCATTTCCTTTTTGCCACCTGCCCCAAGTAGGCCAGGCCCTGCCCCTGGAACATGGCAGGTGGCTGAGGAGAGAACCAAGAGTCCCCAGCACTGAGCCCAGGTGGCCAGGCACTGGATCAGTAGGGAGAATATGCCAGTTAAGAGTCTGCAGAGAGCAATCTAAGACCATGCTGTCTGACTTTTGTGACTGTGCCCCCCCCCCCCCCGGAGTAGTTCTGAAACCAGCTTCAGTGTCCGTGGTTCAGCTAACGTACCCCACTGCGGGCAAGGGAAAAGAGAGAGAGAATGTATAAGACAGTGGCCCACGCCTGTAGGGGGAGGGGGAGTGCTTGGAATAGTGGGCAGCTGCTTTTGGGATAGTTCCAGAGCTCCTCTAGGGTTTAGCTAGGGATTGAAAAGCCCTGGGGGAGGTTAGTGTTCTAGCCAAACAAATACAGGCCTTTTAGATTGGTTCTTGAAATTTTAGCAAAGAGTTTTGGTTAGGAGATGTTTTTATTTTGAATCCTTTTACACATTTGAGAATGTTCAGGTGAACATACTAGATCATCTTAGAGTGACTCATCCTAATTGTTGCAGAGACATTATTCAATTTGCCTTCCCTGTCTAACTTTTCTTCTCTCTTGGCCGCCCAGTCATTGCTGGAAAGGGGTCACCTACCCTTTGGCTACAGCCGATTGGCTCCAAGTCCATCACTTGGATTTTCTTTCCTAGAAAGGACGGGGAGGTGGTGCTGAGACTGAACTGTGAGCTGGAGGTTCTGAAACTTGGCTCAGCCTTAGGATCACCTCCCCAACTTTCTTTAAGTTTATACCTGTGCCCTACATGCCAGAGCCTGAACACTAGGTATGAAAAGGACCCAGGCATGTATATGTTTAATTAGTCCTCTAGGTGGAGGTGGATCATCATCGAAGTTTGAGAAACAGTGGACTAGGGCACCAACTTGGTACACTGTCCTGTTCACTTCTAATTGCCCTCCCTGCCCTTCCCACCTCTGCCTGCCTTCCGCCCAAGTAAGCAGGATGGAGGGTGGAAGGGTTCTCCAAGGATCTGGACCTTGAGACTGACGTTTCCTCCTATTTGTCTTCTCTGACCCACTCTGCCCTTTCTGAGCCTTGGTTTTCTTCAACATAAGACTAGGTCATTGTGGTCCCTTCCAAAAGGAAGACCACGAACCCTTTTTTGTATTTATGTTAATGCAATGAATATTTATTAAATGCCTACTTGGTCCCAGACATTTTGCTAAGTGTTATACAGCCTGGTGGTGAGTTGTTCTAACTAGGAAAACAGCCTGGAATAGTGTGGAATTGTGTGAAATAGGCACAGGCTTTGTCGGAGTTACTTTTGGGTGTAAATCCAGTCTCTGCTATTTGTTCTTTTCTTTTTTCTTTCTCCTTCCTTTCCCTTTCCCTTCCTTTTTTCTTTCTTAAGCTCTCCACCCAGCATGGGGCTTGAACTCATGACCCTGAGATCAAGAGTTGCTTGCTCTCCCACTGAGCCAGCCAGACACCCCCAATCTCTGCTACTTGTAGCTACAAGCCCTGCACATGTTATTTTTCTTCCCTGAGCCTCAGCCTTTCCCTCAAAAATGAAAGTAACAATACCTATTTCACAGGGCTATTATGAAGTTAAATAATTATTAGGTAAAATTTAACCAAGGATGTGAAAAACCTGTACTCTGAAAACTATGAGGCACTGATGAAAGAAACTGAAGAGGACACAAATGGAAAGATGTACCACACTCATGGATTGGAAGAACTAATATATTGTTCAAATGTCCATACTGCTCAAAGCTATCTACAGATTCAGTGTAATCCCTATCAAAATATCAATAGTACTTTTCACAGGACTAGAACAAATAATCCTAACATTTATATGGAATCACAAAAGACCCTGAATTAGCAAAAGCAATATCGAGAAAGAACAAAGCTGCAGGTATCACAATCCCAGATTTCAGATCTGTTACAAAGCTATAGTAAAACAGTATGGTACTGGTGAAAAACAGACACATAGATCAATGGAACAGAATAGAAAGCCCAGAAATAAACTCATGCTTATATGGTCAATTCATCTACAACAAAGGAGGCAAGAATATGAAGTGGGGAAAAGACAGTCTTGTCAATAAGTGATGTCAGGGAAAAAAATTATTAGGTTCTTATCTCTCCCAGTCTTCAGCTGCACCATGTTGACCAAAATGGAAATGACCTAAAGGCATGGAGCACTGCCTAAGATTTCTTGAGTCCCTGTGTTGCCTGAGAAGTTGCTACATCCTCATTCTGATATACTGAGTTGAAATGTGGTTTAGTATATGTATGAGGTAGGAGAGTGTATTGCTGAGTAATCACCTGTGTCCACTCACTTGGACAAGGAAGTATATAAGTAAATAGCATTCAGGAAATGGCAGTTGTGTTATTGTTGTTGTTTTTAAAAGACTTTATTTATTTATTTGAGAGAGAGACAGAGCACTAACAGAGCAGCAGAGGGAGAGGGAGAAGCAGATTCCCCGCTGAGCAGGGAGCCCGATGCGGAGCTCGATCCCAGGACCCTGGGATCATGACCTGAGCCGAAGGCAGACGCTTAACCAACTGAGCCACCCAGGTGCCACCAGGAAATGGCAATTTTAAGCTCTTCTCTCCCCATAACTAGACTGGGGCACTTCATCTTTTTGAGTCTCAGGTTCCACTTGTTGTGACTAATTGATGATGTTATGACATGTAGACATTTTTAGAAACGAACCTTGGCTCTTTTAAATTAAAACAATAATTAAATTCTTCAGTCATATGAGAAATTCTATTAAAAATCTCTTCAGCTTAAGGGTGCCTGGGTGGCTCAGTCAGTTAAGCATCTACCTTCTGCTCAGGTCATGATCTCCTGGTCCTGGGGTCAAGCCCCAATCCACTGATAGATCGACAGATAGGGCTCCCTGCTCAGCGGGGAGCCTGCTTCTCCCTCTCTGTCTGCCCCTCCCACTCATGCGTGCTCTCTCTTTCTCCCTGTCTCTGTCTCAAATAAATAAATAAATAAATAAATAAATAAATAAGATCTTTAAAAAAAAAATCTCTTTAGCTTAATAAGACTTTGTGGTCCTGTCTTCTTTGATGTGCCTTGGTTTTCTACAAAGTCATGGTCAACCTGTGTGTTCAGTTTTGAGCTCTTTTTTCCTGCTTTTCAGTGTTAATACATAGTGTTCCGAGTATTAACACGGAAGCTTTTGAATCCATGGTGTTCATAAGTTAGAGGACTAACCATTTTTTTTAATTCCTTGAAGCACTGAACTTGAACTGTTTGGGTGGCTTTTCTGGTTTTGAATCTGCGGATCTTGACTAACCTCTTAAAGATAATGACACAGAATGGAATTGAAAATATCAGAATGTTTCCATGGCATGTTTATTTCAGTTTATGTTTATGTGTGGGCATGTTTGTTGACTGAATCATGTTTGTTTACTTAGTGTTGAATTGCTTTTGTTCCTCAAACCGAGACCAGAAGTGAATTATAACTCTGCACCCCCTCTGCTCAGGAGTGATGTATAAGAAACAAATCTTTATCAAAATGATAACTTAAAAGATCCACTTAAATAGAAATTGGGAGGAAAACGACCTTACCTGTAAAGGGGATACCGTTGTTAGTTCTCGGGCTCATGTGCTTGCCTGCACTTTTCCTTTGGTCCTCCATTACATTTGCCAGCTTTTATCTGAGGAAAAGCTAAAACACAGACAGACATAGTCCACATGTTACAAGCCATTATTTTACAGGCAGCTCTCTTAAATTCATCTTGTGACTCTTTTGTGTAAACTGAAACACTTTTGCCTACTCTTGACTTTCAGAGTAGCATTCGCTTCATCACTTCTCCCTGTCTCTCCCTCACGCCATCAGCGCTCATCTCAGTCAGCGGTAGCTTTTCCCCTTTAGTTGTTTCCTTAAAACGGTCATGCACACAAACAAATATAATACCCACAGCTGCTTCTCACCAGTTCGGAGGCTTTCTTAGTGAATGACTCGGCATGATTCAGCAGCCCTAACGGTCTCTTTTGGGAACCCATTTTACCAAGTATTTTCAATAGTTAACCCATCTCATAGGCTAACAAGATTCATACTTCTGGTTTACTATTTTAGTTCAAATGAGTTATGATAAGTATCCAGACATATGTCAGGATAGGATAAAAAAATTAGTGGAGTTCAGGTTTAGAATGAAGAGATTCCCAGGCCTGGAAGAGATTTCTGTGATTCAGAAGTAAAAGATGATTTTAAATTTATTTCCATTCATTTGCAGAATGAAATTTGTTTAAGCAGTAGTTGATACTGAGAAAGTCACATTATTAAGATGAGGGGAGGAGAGACCACAGCCCGAGGATCACATAATGACAGTCGGAACCAAATGGACACCACGGTGTTTGCTTTCACTTGTTTGTCACGAAGTACGTTATAGACTTCAGGCAGTGTCTGAACTGTGTTCCCAAAATTCCTTTACAGAAGTTTCTATTTACCCATAATATACCTCAGTTATTAAAAGCACATAGAACTAAGTTACCATGAGAGAATTCTTTTTTTTTTTTTAAGATTTTATTTTTAAGTAATCTCTACACCCAACATGGGGGTTAGACTCACAACCCCAAGATCAAGAGTCGCACACTCCACCGACCAAGCCAGCCAGGCACCCCACCCTGAGAGAATTCTTGATGTATCTCTGGTGTCAGGACGCCACTTGGGGGTTCCCAGTCATTGGTGCGTGGGTTGAGGCACAGACAGGGTGGAAATCCGGGGGAAAGCTAGTGCAGGTTTCTCTGGTGACCAGAAGGTTGGTAACCAATGGCTTGTCTTATTATACCCACACTGCTTCCTATCCTTATGTGGTATTCTTATCTCAGTGACATGGTGCATGCATTTGCCTGAGTTTCCTGCTTGGGGTTGGAGGGCGGGCTGTCGAAGTCTACTGTTGGAAAGTGTTTCATGGAGGTCTCCCTACATGATCTGTGTGCTTTTTATTGCCTTTCAGAATCAAAGCCATAGAGAGTCCCAACAAAGAAGATGATACCCAGTGGCTGACCTACTGGGTAGTGTATGGTGTGTTCAGCATTGTTGAATTCTTCTCTGACCTCTTCCTGTCATGGGTCCCCTTCTACTACATGCTGAAGGTATGTTGGCTTTTCCTGAACTGCTCTGTTTCCTTCCATCTGTGGATTTGCTTTGTGCCCTACCACTAAAATGAACTCCATCTCAGGACCTCTGTAGAGGCATAGGAACAAAGGCTTGAATGTTGAACATCTGTGGCTCTTCCTCCCCTTAGAAACAGGAAGACTGAGTGCGGCACAGCTCACTTACTTTGTATACTGCCTTGGAAACAGCCAAAGCAAGTATGTATTCAAAGTGTGCTTGATAATAAAAGATGGAAATTCGGTGACGTCACACAGGCCTTGCCGGGAGTTTGCCAAGACCCTGTGTTCAAGCAGAGCTGGCTGTGGTCAGCGCAGAAGCACTGCACGACTTGGCAGTTCACTGAGTATTCACACCGGTGTGCAGGAGTCATTATTTCTAGAAGAAAAAAGTACTCATTTCTTACATAGGTTTGGAGAAAGATGTGAAAGGGGCGCTCTGAGGAAGTCATTTTGAGGACATTGGCAGGTGCCTTGGTCAGGGAGCTGCCCTGCCACACCTTGTGTTTGGTGGAGAACCGAGCTTGGTAACCAGCATGTGAGGAAAAGGATTAGGAAGTTGAAACTCATTCCTACTGGGACCCGTATCGATTCTGAATGAGAACGTTAACATCTTCTAAGAGATAGGGTGTATGTAAGGTTTCATTGGAAACCTTAAATGCTCTCATCAGATCTTTTTCTTTGTCACTTTTACATTTCGTCCTGCTTCTGTACCTCCAAGTTAGAAAACATTCTCCTGTCCTTTTTTTCTAAAACGGAGGTTTGGGCACAGAAGTCCTGTCCTTGTTGAGGCGCTGAGGAAAATGAGTGGAACTCAGGAGCCAGGGTGGTTCCTCCCCGTCCACTCCTGCTCTGCCCCCTTGAGCTGTGCAGTACAGCTTATGAGCATCTCCTTCTAATGCTTCTCGGGGAGCAAAGGGTGCTCCCTTGGCCTGCGGGACTGTTTAGTGGGAGAAGAGTGATGAACTGTGGTTCCTTTGCCGTCTGGGGCTTCCTACCCACAGCTTACTGGGACCAGCATGCATTGGCGTGTGGTTTTCCTCCATCCCAGGGCCTAACAGAGCAGCTGATACTCCCAGCGGAAAACGAGCTTACAGGCCAAAATAACAAGATATTTGAAAAGTACAACCATTTCAAAAGAAAGACAACGCAATCAATTACAAAATTCTGTCAGCAGTAGAAATAGTAGAACTGACTAACCAAGACTTCTAAGATAGACTGCTAGCAGGAGAAGTATAGCAATATGAAATAGGAACCAGAAAACGCAGGAAAGAGCCAAGGAAAAATATGAGATATGAAAAGGAGTTGAAATAAAGAACACATGGTATGGCATAAATAACAGAATGGAACAAACTTGAAAACTGGAAGGAAAGATTGCAAAAATATATATATATATACATATACATATATTTCAAAGTAATGTACAGATTCAGTGCATTCCCTATCAAAATACCAATAGCATTTTACATAGAACTAGAATAAATAATCCTAAAATTTGTATGGCACCACAAAAGACCCGGAATAGCCAAGGTAGTTTTGAAAAAGAAAAACAGAGCTGGAGGCTTCACAAGCCCAGATTCCAGAGCTACTACAAAAGTGTAGAAATCAAAACAATAGGGCATTGGCACAAAAATAGACATATAGATCAAAGGAACAGAATAGAGTCCCCAGAAATGAACCCATGCTTATATGATTGATTAACCTATGACAAAGGAGGTGAGACTATAAAATGGAGAAAAGATAGTCTCTTCCATAAATGGTTCTGGGAAAACTGGACAGCCACATCAAAAGAATGAAACTGGACCACTTTCTTACACCATATACAAAAATAAACTCAAAATGGGTTAAAGACCTAAATGTGAGACCTGAAACCATAAAACTCCTAAAAGAAAATAGAGGTAGTGTTTCTTTGACATTGAACTTAGCCACATATTTCTAGATATATCTCCTCAAGGGAAACAAAAGCAAAAAATAAACTATTAGGAGAGCGAGAAGCAGACTGCCCCCTAAGCAGGGAACCTGATGGGACTTGAACCCAGGACCCCGGAATCGTGACCTGAGCCGAAGGCAGATGCTTAACCGACTGAGCCACCCAGGTGCCCTATAATTTCTTAATTTTGAATGATATGACCATAGAATGCCTTGTGAGATGGCTGAAGAATTTTCCTTTCAAGATACATTTTTTTAAAATTCTGTGGTAAGATTTAAGATTTCAAAGACTGCTGGATTTTCTGTGTGTTTTTTTTTTTTTTTTTTTTTTAAAGATTTTATTTATTTATTTGAGAGAGAGAATGAGAGACAGCACAAGAGGGAAGAGGGTCAGAGGGAGAAGCAGGCTCCCCGCCGAGCAGGGAGCCCGATGCGGGACTCCAGGATCATGACCTGAGCCGAAGGCAGTCGCTTAACCAACTGAGCCACCCAGGCGCCCTTCTGTGTGTTTTTGTTATTCAAAGACATTCGGCATTTCTAGAGATATTTTTATGATCTTACTTGGATATCACATATTTTAAACTACAAACAATTTTGAAGTCTTTCATAAGATCCATCTAATGGTAGTGACATCACAGTGCAGTCTCTAAGGAAAGAAACTTGGCTTTTGCCTTGGGTCCACCTGCTTGCTGCAATGAACAGTATCCTGTCAGCAGAACCACTCACACCAGGAGCTGACCTCAGACTTCCAAAACATGAGCAAGCCTGACTCCAGCCGGCCTCTGGTCACCTCTGCTAATGGAGGTCACACAAGGTAAAGAGAGGATCCCGAATAAGAGATAACTACTAAATCATTTATATTTGGTTTTGAACTACATTACAAAAAAGGCTTTGCAGCAAAATCTTCTTCCCTAGTATTAAAATAAATGTGCATCCATTAGTAGTCATCAGTGAGAATGAGAGAATTTACTGCATGTTCCAAATAGATAATATACTTGAGATGATTAAAAATTGATTATCCTGTCAATCAAAATGCTTTCTTCCTACAGTAGTGCATATTCTGAGTGGCTTCAGAGAACAGACTGAGAAAAAGCCTCTGACTTGCAGAGTGGGTAGGAAAACATCCCCCCTTTTTTTAATTTAAAGGTTTTATTTATTTATTTGAGAGAGAGCACACAAGCCGGAGGAGTGGGCAGAGGGAGAAGGAGAAGCAGACTCCCCACTGAGCAGGGAGCCTGATGTGGGGCTCGATCCCAGGACCCGGAGATCATGACCTGAGCTGAAGGCAGACACTTAACCAACTGAGCCACCCAGGCGCCCTGAAAATATCTACTTTTAAGGGCTAGCACAGACCATATTCCATTGCTGCAATCACATGGTGATGTATAGAGTGAGAAAAGAGATCTAAGTAAGGACACGTCTAATATTTATCTTTTTAAGAATTAATATTGGTATTTTTTATAAAGCAGCCTAAGATTGGAGGTGCCTGGATGGCTCAGCCGGTTTAGCATCTGACTTCGGCTCAGGTCATGATCTCAGGGTTCTGAGATCGATCCTCCCATTGGGCTCCGAGCTCATCAGGGTCTGCTTGTCCCTCTGCCCCTTCCCCCGCTCGTGCTCTCTCTCAGATAAATAAATAAAAATAAAATAAAATAAAAATCTCTAAAACAGCCCAAGATTGGAGGAAAATAAGAGGAACCAGTGATTAGGCATCAAAGATTAGTTGGCAAGATAATATACAATCTATTCAGGTCAGTGCTGAAGTGGGGGGGTTTTTTGTTTTTTGACATTAACTCAGTTCTGCCCAGGCTGGTCTCAAACTGTGTATAAAACATATCCCTACCTTGGAGATACCTCTTCTAGGAGGAAACTGGACGGTGACAGTATTAGAACCACAGACAGAATTATCTGTAATTGAAGGAGTTAGTATGTTAGTGCTCATCGTGCCAAGAATCCGTTAAAATAGCACAGATTCTCCTTGGGTGGCTCAAGTCAGCTAAGCGTCTGACTCTTGATTTCAGTTCAGGTCATGGTCTCAGGGTCATGGGATCGAGAGCCGCGTCAAGCTCCGTGCTCAGTCGGGAGTCTGCTTGTCCCTCTCCCTCTGCTCCTCTCTCTGTCTCTCTCAAATAAATAGATAAACAAAACATAAATAAATTAGCAAAATCTTTAAAAATAATAGGAGGATGGTTGCCTATGTGTAGTTCAGAGTACTCCTGGGCTCTAGAACAGTTATGTAGATTAAGAAAAGGGAGTTATAAAAGCTGGTGGCTGAATATCACCGTGAGAGTTGAACAGTAATTTATTTTTTAATACAAGAAAGCTATTTCATTTGAAAACTGGGAAATGCTAACGATGTAGGTAGAGAGCAGTAATTATTTTACTGTCCCAAGACAATAGCTAGAGGGTACTGGGAAGAAATGAGCAGACCAGAGTATAGCCTAATCACATTGGAGAGGTACAAAAATGTAGACACTTAGCTCTGGTTCTGTCTGGTAGTCTTGCCTTCATTCATCCAGAAAAGATGAATGAATTAGCTTTTCTGGATTGCTGAGGGGTTGATGTCTACATGGGCAGATAATACTTCAGAGATTTTCAACAACAGTGAGGACTGTAGGACTTGGTAATACTGCTGCTATCTGGTGTACTTTCTTCAAGGACATTAATTTGTGACTTGCCTAAAATCCTGTGCAAGAGAAAACTGACTCTTAGGGAGGTTGTTTATGACTTTACCTCAAGTCATAAAATAAAGTAGATACCAACTGATGCCTAATCCAGTGAGTCATTTCCACTTCACCTTGATGCTGATGCTTGTAATACGGGCATCTATCTCTACATCAGTAATCCATTCCTGAAAATTAGATATTTTACATAGGAATACCAGGCAGGAGACTATTTCCTACACTTTTAAATGGTAAAAATTAAGATGTATAAATCTAAAACTCCATACCAGTTTCCCAAATATTAGTAAAACTCAGCAAAATACCCTTATATAAGTAACAAATATGCACCACTTCTAGCTCTCCAGTTAACAGAGTTGGTAAGAAATTATTGCTTCGTATGCAGTAGTACATGGCCCATCTCCTTGAATACTCTGCATACTCTTTAAAATGTCCACATGGAATTCTAATTCAATGTCAGGGATGTAGTTTTTCCTTTTTACTGCACATCATTTTGTTTAAACAGTTGTATTGAGTTTGGGGTGTGTATGTATTAGCGTTACCTATATAAGCAGCCAATGGAAAACATTGTGTTTGGATATTAAGAACCAGAAATCTTGGGGCGCCTGGGTGGCTCAGTTGGTTAAGCATCCAACGTGGTTTCGGCTCAGGTCAGGATTTTGGGCTTGTGAGATTGAGCCCCCCCTCCCTCATGGGCCTCCGAGCTCAGCAGAGAGTCTGCTTGGGATTCTCTTCCTCATTCTTTGCCTCTGCTCCTCCCCTGTGTACACACATTCTCTCTCTCAAGTAAATAAATCTTTTAAAAAGTAAATAAATA